AAAATGTTCAATCAAATTTAGTTAAGATATTGAAGACGAGGAGTGGAAATCTCAAGCTGGTTTCATTGTTAGAAAATGAGTTTCAAAAGTTGATTTCTAGTGTGGTCATTCGTGGTTGGCATTCAATGTGATTGCTAAAATAACTGGTTGCATGTCCCTACAAGGTATTAACCATACAAAGATAGCCACTGTTGCTACTTTTGCAGTAAAACATTGCAAACTGTGCAGTTAAATAGGAGTTTAACATTAGTTGTGTCCAGCATTAATTCACGTTTTGCCCTAAGCACCACGTTCGAAACTCACATTTATATTAAACTTGAAGTCTGTTGCAGAATCCAGGGTTGTGTCCTTAACTGGTAAATGATCCTGCTTTTAGTTTGAACCAACTGTGTGAGTTTGATAAAGAGTCATCAGACTCGAAATGTTAACTCTTGTTTCTCCCCCCAACAGATGCTGCCAGACCTGTTGAGTTTCTCCGGCAATTTCTGTTTTTGTTGCATATGTGACTTAACTGTTTCATGTGAAATGACCATAAACCATCCTGCCTGAGAATTATGATATGGAATAAGACACTTCCTCCAATACAAACATGGGAGAATCTACACTGGCATTGTAAATATATATATCTTCCAAGGTTGGAGGCAGGACAAAGTGCATCTTTTAGTATGAATAATTTTAAATCCATGAAAACACATTGAAGGAGACCTTGGTGGGTTCAGTCTCTTTAGGATAATATTGAAATATTTGATTTAAAATTAAGAACGAAAACTGGTAAATTGCTGCTTTTTTAAAAAAAAAATCATTTCTGGTAGGTGGTCTATGCATAGAAAGTTAGCCTATCTTTTGTCTTCAGGGTTAGTTGAAATAATCAAATTCAGAATATTTGAATTTTTAGAGGCAACTGATAAGGTGGTAAATTGCAGCTTGGAAGTTTGCCTGTTTGTTTAAAGGCAAAATGAAGGTGAAATGTTCAAAAATGGAATATTAAGGGAAAATATGCAGACTTTTATTCTTTAGACATCAAGGCTTGGATTTTTTGGCACTGGGATTCAAGCCCACGTACTGTTGGTGCTGTTAACAATGTAATTGATAAGATGTAAGATGTAAAACTCTTCATAGAATCATAGAGTCCCTACAGTGTAAAGACAGGCCATTCAGCCCAAGTCTGCACTGACCCTCCGAAGAGCATCCCACCCAGACCCATCCTCCTACCATTGCCCTACAACCCCGCATTTCCCATGGCTAACTTACAAACCGCTGAACACTGTGAGCAATTTAACATGGCCAGCCCACCCAGCCTGCACATCTTTGGACTGTGGGAGGAAACCGGATCACCCGGCGGAAACCCACGCAGACACGCAGAATGTACAAATGCCACACAGACAGTCGCCCAAGGGTGGAATCAAACCCCAGTCCCTGGTGGTGTGAGGCAGCAGTTCTAACTGCTGCACCACCGTGCTGCTCCAAAATGATATGCAACGAAATGCCTACAAAAATGATAGGCAAGTTAACTTTAAACTAATGTAATCAATGTTGATATTGGACCTTTTAGTTTCTCCTCTGTCTCTTCCTGGGAGTCTTGGTCACCTTACACATTGACTAACAAGGGAGTCAGTGGTTATTTGGTGTATGCAAAAATATGGATTTGATGCCACAATCAGATGAGCCATGATCCGAGTGAATACTAGAGAAGACTAGAGTGACTGAATAGCCTACTGTTTCTGATTTGTAGGTTCATGTGTGCCTGTCTTATTACATGATGAAGCAAATGACACACAGGAAGTGGAAGTGATGAAACTTGAAGTACATGATACTGTGTTATTATTTGCATTGACTTACCCAAATTGAAGTCCCGTTGCCTACACAAACTCTTTGGAAATAGTGACAGAAAATGAGGCAAGTCTGAGTCCATAGAGCCAGTAGTAGTGAATTGCACTTAATTTTCTAATCTGGCAAATTCATTCAAAAACAAAGGGAAGGAAAATGACCTGAAACATAATCGCTTTGTAGCGGAGATAAATGTTACAGGACAGTTTCTGCCAGTTGGCAGAAAGTCACATAGCTTTCAGAGGAAAAGAGGGTATACAAAAGGCTGAAACACAATTTGTGATCGTGGATTGAGAGAGCCATTGAAAGCATGCAAGGTACAAAATTAGTGATGAAAGATGGTAGCCCCCACCATGCCGTACAATCTTGCAGCCAACAGTCTGGCATTTTCCCCATATTAACAACTCTGCACCCTGAAACAAAAGGAGCAGTGTGAGATTTTTAAAACAGGAAGCTGTAGAGGAATTGGTTGTTGTAGATCATCTTCATGTCATCCACATACAGCATCCTCTTTATTATTTGCTCATAACACTTAAGGGAGCTGATGCAACACAGCACAGTGGTACTCTCATGATCCCTAATATGAATGAAAGGACATTAAAGCCAACTGGAAAATTAGGGAATGCTCATCATGGGTGGTGTAGTGCCTGGTAAACAGCTACATCAGGATGCCCCCAATATTGCATTGCATCATTCAATATCTTAGAGCCATTATGGACCTCTGTTGAATTGAATTGTGCAAGCATTCAAGGAAATGAGTCTAATCGGGGAAGTGGGTAGGTAGAAGAGTGTGGAGGTTCAGGTGGGGACCTGGAATCGCTGGGACTGAAGTGGGAGATAGCAGCAGGAGTGGTGAAATTAAGTGGGATTAGAATAGGAATATAGCAGAGAAATGGCTGTACAGTCCAGTCAATGCATGATGGTTTTGTGTTCTGCTTGAGCCTATAAGACAATAAGAAATAGGGACAGGGTAGGCCATTCAGCCCCTCAAGCCTGCTCCATCATTCAATTGAATCATGGCTGATCTGACATTCCTCGTATCCAATTTCCTGTGTTTTTTCCGTAGACCTTGATTTCCCATGCTGATGGAGAATCTATCAATCTTAGCCTTAAATATGCACGAGGACTCTGCCCTGACAGCTGTGTTTGGCAAGAAGTTCGAAAGAGATTAAAACCTCAGAAGAAATGCATTGTCGTCTCAGTCTCAGAATAAAGAGGCCCTCTGGTCCTAGACTCTCCCATAAAGGGAAATGTTGTTTCACCCTATCAAGCCCTTTCAGGAAAACTGACCTCACCTGATAGTGTCAAAAGATTCATACAGCAAGGAAACAGACCATCCAGTCAAACCAGTCCACATCGACCATGTTCCCAAACTGAACAAGTCCCACCTACCTGCATTTGGCTAATATCCCTACGAACCTTTCCTATTCATGAACTTATCCAAATGTCTTTTAAATGTTGTAACTGTACCTGAATCCACCACTTTCTCTGGCAGTTCATTCCACACACTTAACCAGTCTCTGTTTAAAAAATAAATGTTGCCCCCTCATGACTTTTTTAAATCTTTCTCCTCTCACCTTAAAAATGTGCCCCTTAGTTTTGAACTCCCTAACCCTAGGAGAAAGACCCTCATCATTCACCTTATCTATTCCTTCATGATGTTATAAACCTCAGAAGGTTGAGGGGTGACCTTATTATGTTCAAGTGGAAAAAATGTCCTAGTCTTTCCAGTCTCTCTATATCTGGCCTGATGTGACTAGAGAACTACAGCCATGTGATTAACTTTTTAATGCCCCCTGGAATAGTCATGCAAGCTGCTCTGTTCAAGGACATTTGGGAATGGGCAACAGATGCTGCCCTAACGATCAAGGCCCATGTGCCATCAAAGGATAAAGGGTAAAAAGTGTGCATGTGTTTTTAGTGTATCTAGCTTGCAACTGAAAATCTCTTAGATTTACTTGAAGTTGCCAGCTCTCTCTGACACATTGTTTGGTTAAAATAATATGTTTAGAAAACAGCAATCTCTAAGCAGTGCTGTAATGTATGGACCTGATCTAGATTCAGTTGAATGAAAATAAGCATTAGATGTGCTAACCCTATCTAAAATAGAATTTGCATTATTTCAGCAAGTGTGAAGCTTTAAAGAAGTGCTGGAAATTTGGAGGGCCTCTTGTACTCAGTTGTCCTAAATCCCTGTTTACAGTTCTAAGCAAATTTGCAGTTGGTCCTTTATAATGACTAGTCCCATTGTCTCTTCTCCCTCCCATCATCCCTTTTCACCCTACCTTTGTTCCAAAAAACCCACATCAAATTTGGCAGCCACAGGCCCATATAGCATGAGAAAACTTACTTACATGTTCTCCCTTTCTCACCTGAAGCCTTTTATTTCAATTTCCAAAATATACGTTATTCACAACAAATATCTATATATACATAGTCATAAACTCAGTTCTGTACAGTGGCATGTCAAGGAAACAAACAAACATTGAAGTTTGACTCTATCCAAACAAACCAAAGGCATCTCTTTCTTGTGCAAGATTATATTTACATATGTTTGAGGTACCAGCAGGGTTCAATAACCGAACAGACCCCATACAACTTTGACAGAAAGACCTCAGATAGTGGTCTTTCCGCACTGCGGCAGCTGCCCCAAACTTTATTTCATCCCTCAGCACATAGTCCTGGACCTTGGAATATACCAGTCTGCAACACTCGGTCAGGGTCAGCTCCTTATACTGGAAGACCAACACCTGCTGGAATATATTTTCCCATATAATTCAGCCCTTCCAGCCCATGTGATTTCCCTCAGCGAGCTACACTACAAGTACGTGCTGATAAAACATCAGGTTTTAAAGGCTAATTCTCCTATTATCTTCTGAAGTTATCTCCAGGGAATCTTTGAGTTAGTACTGGGAAATGACAATCCTTTCTGTTTCATTTCTTTCAAGTATGTTGAATTTGATTGTAGGCCCTGTACTGGGAATAAGTAACTTAGCACAGAATGAAGGTTCTGCAGTTTTCTGTGAACTGTGAAATACTGAAGTTAGAAGACCGGAATCTCACTATTTACACTGTCTGTGAATTGTCATGTTGCTGGCTTAGCCTTTAAGTTGTAAACCACATGTCAGCTTCTTATTTTCATGTTCGATCTAACCAATTGTTTATTTTTCCAGAAAGCAAAGAAGTCCAAGGCAATAGATTCTTTTTCAAAATCTGCACTTACTGAAGGTACTGTACCAAATTGTCTCTAAAATACATTCCCATAGACCGAAAGTCATGAATAATTTTGCAACAAATTCTATGCTTCCACAGTCTTCCACATTTATATTTTATTGCGGTCTTTCTGTGAAATAAGCTAAAAATAAAAGCAGCTTTCAGCAAGCACAATACTGATAACACTTTTCATAAACCAGTGGCTAGATGTCATGGTCAGTACATTGGTAAGAGATGAGGTAGGTTTTGCCTTCCAAATTTACAGGCAAGCGCATCACCTCAAATCTATGTGGCTTACACTTCCTGCTAGGGAAAGACCTCATTTTGCTATTCAAATTTATTTTAGAAACCGCTCACATCTGACCTGATTATGTTGCACTGTTACTGAGATGCTGCTTCACACAATGCTGTTTTTATTTGAAGCAGAATAAGAGAGTAAATCTATTAAATATTAAGAAACATTTTCATTTATTTAAACAAAATCATATTGGCGAATCAGAGGTCACCATTCCTGATTTATCAGAGATTCAGAAAGCTTCTGTCTGTTGGGTACCCTGGTCTGTGTGTGAGACCCTTTTCTAAGAAAATCACCCATACTTTTCAATTTAAGATATTCCAAGAGGATCAAAGGTTGTGCTCTCTAATGGGAGTGAACTGATCCTAGAGTTGAGGTTGATAAGGTGAGGCCTTCATGGTGACCTCAGCTGGTGTTGGATTTTAACCCATGAAAAAAGATAAAATACTGTGAATGCTGGAAATCTGAAACAAACACGGAGAATACTGTAGGACCTCAGCAGGTCTATCCTGAAGAAGAATTATACCAGACTCGTGATATTAATTGTGTTTCTGTCTCCAGGGATACTGCCAGACCTGCTGAGTTTCTCCAGCATTCTGTGTTTGTTTGAGAATTGAACCCATGCTGTTGGTGTGACTCTATTGCAAACCAGCCATCCAGAAATCTGAGCTAACCGCTAATAAGTCAGCAACATTTTCTGTCAAAGTAAAAATCGAGAAGACTGGGTGCTGGAAATCAAAACAAAAACAAATTGCTGGAATATCTCAGCAGGTCTGGCAGCACCTGTGGAGGAGAAATCAGAGTTAATGTTTCAGATCCAGTGACCCTTCCAGGGGAGGAGTCAATGGACCCGAAATGTTATCTCTGCTTTCTCTCTCCCAGATCTGCTGAACTTTTCTGTCAAAGTACCAGATGCACACTTCTACATACAAATGCTGCTACCCTTGCACAGATTAATGAAGTCACAGCTGATGCATTTCCATCACATTTGCACAAAGCTGGATGATTTTAACAGGTAATATCTCAGGTCTCAATGTTAGATTTAATTATCAATTGACAATTATTCATTGCAACAGGAACACACACTATATTCACCCATGTAGTAGCTCCTGGACATATGCAGTCCTAAAATAGAGATACCATATTCATTTGCAGGGAATTCATTACCTCAGCGTTTTCAGAATTTTCAGATTTCCACTTTGATGAACGTTTCTTTGCTGATAGGGTTAAAATAGTTTCTCTCTTTTGCAGCTTGACTATTCCAGAGAGCATTTAAGAGTCAATCACATGGCTGTAGTTCTGAAGTCACATTAGGCCAGATATAAAAATAGACTGGAAAGGCCGGGACTACTACTCACTGGAGCATGAGAGGTTGAAAGGTGACGTGAAAGAGATTTATACAATCACGAGGGGCACAGATAAGGTCGATGACAAGGGTCTTTTACCTAGGGTGAGGGAATTTGAATCTAGGGGCTGTACTTTTAAGGTGAGAGGCAAAAGATTTAAAAAGGACATGAGGGGAAACATTTTTACACAGACTGGCTTGTGTGTGGAATGAACTGCCAGAGAAAGTGATGGATGCGGGTACAGTATCACATTGCAGCCTTCCTCTCTCTTGTACATTGTACACTACCCCATTCCTGTTATGCTTATAATACTTTTTCTTCCCCCATCCCCTCACAGCCTCTTTTTTCCCCCTTCCCCTCGACACCTTGTGCTCTCTCCTTCCCACTTGCTCATGGCCTCACACTCTCCCCTGCTTCCCACTCTTCCTTTCCTTCCTCTTCTCCACCCCTCATTCTCTTGGCACCCCCCCCCCCCCCCCCCCCCTTTCCCCCCCCCCGTTCCGGATCCCCTGTTGTCCAACCCCCCCCCCCCCCCTCCCTCGCATGTTGATAGTGGGAGATTCGGTAATGATAATGCCTTTGAATGTCAAGAAATGATGGATAGATTCTCTTGTTGGAGATGGTCCTTGGTGCTTGTTGCATGAATAGTACTTGCTTACATTTGAGCATGGACTGCTTCAGTATCTGAGAAGTTGCGAATGATGCTGAAATTATGCAGTCACCTCTTCACCTCAGAACTTATGATGGAGAAACGTAACTATTGAAGATGGTTGGGCCCAGAGTGCTACCCTGTTATTCTGCAGAGATATCCTGGAGCTGAGATGACGGACCTTTGGCAACCACAACTATGTTCCTTTGCACCAAGTGTGACTCCAACTAAGAGTTTTGCATAGGTTCCCATTGACTCCAGATTTGTGCAGGCCTCTTGTTGCCACACCTTATCAAATGCTGTCTTGATGTCGAGGACAATCACCCTCACTCCCCTCTTTTAGTTCAGATCTTTGCCTGCATTTAGACGAATAATGTAATGAGACCAGGAGCTGAGTGCATGTGAGAACCCAAACTAAGTGTCAATGAACAGGTTGTTTAGGAGTAAGAGCTGCTTGATAACACTGTCTATGACATCTTCCATTACTTTACTGAGGATGGAGAGCAGATTGATGACAATTGATGGTAATTGGCCAATTGATTTTGTCCTGTTGTTTGTGTACCAAATGATCTTCAGCACTATTGCCAGGATATATTCAGTGCCTGAGGCCTTAGCAGCATCTAGTACCTCCAGCCAATTCTTTATATCACATGGAGTGAATCAAATTGATTGAAGACTGGCCCCTGTTATGCTGGGGAACACATGAAGAGGCTGGGATGGATCATCCACTTGACACTTCTGCTTGTAAATGCCCTCTCTGCACCACCTGCCTGCTCATCCGTCCTCTCCTTTGTCACTCATTCACTCCCCTCACGCTTTCTTGCTCCCCCTTGCTCCATGCTGCTCATTTTGTGCTGCCCACCTGCGCTCTCTGTGCTGCCTGCTGAGACTCTGATTGTTGGTGTTGGGGTAATCCTAATGGAATACATATATTGTATATAGCAACAGGAAATGTTTGAATTGTTTGAAATTTGCCTCTCAAAGCTCAGCATCTCATTATAATGTCTGGTCTCTCTCACTTGTCGAGAACCTGTTTTTCACTGATTTCATCTAATCTACAGCAATTAAAGCAGATCTAAGAGTTGATTTAGTTTTCCCACTTTGTGGCCTCCCTTATACCCATGTATTCAGGAGCAAGATACTTAACGAAGCACAGTAGTTTATATTCCCCATTTTATTTGTGTCAATGTTTTGGTTCATATTCTGGACTCGAATATATCACTTCTGTTTCTCTTTTTCATTCTCCCTTTTCATTTTGAAGATTCGGTTCCCTCATTGTTTCCTTTTCTTTACTTTTTAATTAGAAATTGCGGGGTCATCCATCCAGAAACCCAAAGAAACTAAAGTAGCCATTGATAAGATGCTGAATGGATTTTCGAGTGCTTCAAGTGCAGGTTAGTTTCTGTGTGTTTCAGCTATGATTGTCATACCTGAGAGACAAGGATTCAAATCCAGCTGTTGACATAAACTCTAATGTAATGAGTTTATTGGAATCAGTGTTTCTTCACCTTGCAGTCAAATTATTTTTACCTGGGTCTCTAATCATTTCTTAAACAATTTCTTTAATCTTCACCATGGTTCATCCCAAAGTTTTGGTCACTCATTGTGTTAAGAATTGCTGGGCAAAGTTATGAGTTTGCACCTGTGTCGACTTGCCCTGGTCTCAAGAATTCAAAGTCATGTGTGCTCTGCCCAAACATGATCTTTGTCTTGCTGTAGACTTTTCATATTTCTCTCATGCCATTTTTATTTCATTGGGGCGAGACTACGAAGTGTGGTCTGCAGTCAGCCTCATGGTGATGGTGTCCTGTAGTCAATATCGCAGCGAAGCAGACTGGCAAGTGTCCTGCGGTCAGTATCGCAGTGAGAAAGAAACAAGAGTGACGTCACAAAGTCTGTAAGTTCATTAGCTGGTATTAAAATGGGAGGAATTGAAATCAGGATGATCAAAACAAACATTAAATCAAGACTTGTCTCAGATACTTTTTGATCAAAACTGGGTATTTGTTAATTGGTTGAAGCCAACTGTATTCTCAAGTTTTAACACTGTGCATGCATTGGTGGTAAAGTTAATATAATGTATAAAAGGCAGCAATGTGTGAATAATATAACTAAATAATTAATTACCTTATTAAAAATGGCATTAGTGTGTCAAAATTGCAGTATGTCCCCGCTCAAAGATACCGTTGTGATTCAGGGCAAACATCTCTGTGGTAAGTGTTTGATGTTTGAGCAGGTTTGGCTCAGAGTTTGAGCTGGAGGCTGAACTACAGGTACAGACACTGCGATGCATCAGGGATCAGGGAGCTTACCCGGATTCCTCGTAACTGGAGGCAGTGACACCTATGGATAGATTGTTCTGCTATGGGCAGTGGTCAGGGACAGCAAGCTGTGACTGTAAGTGAGGCAGGTAGTGCACCAAGGGAACAGAAGTGTCTGCCTCTGCAATTGTCAAACAAGTTTGAGGTTCAGCTTTTTTGGGTGAGGGTGAGTGTGAGGACTGTGGGCTGGATGAGTGAAATGACAATGATGCCATGGTACTTCTTGTTGCTGCGGAAAGGCTGCCCACATCATCAAAGACCCCTCACAACCCGTTAGTGCTCTCTTCCAGCCTCTTCCATCAGGTAGAAGATACAGAAACTTGAACACACGCGTCAATAGGTTCAAGAACAGCTTCTCTGCCATTATTAGACTGTTGAATAGATCTCTCTAACTTCAAATAATATTGATCGTGCTTTGTGCACCTACTGTGCAGCTGTAACTTTCTATTCCTTGCTCTGTCTGAGCACTCTATGATCTGCCAGTACTGCTCGCAAAACAGAGCTTTTCACTGTACTTGGGTACATGTGACTGCAATAAATTAAATCAAATACAGGAAGCCATCAAAACAGAGTGTGATGCTGGTGGGAGACGACAGAGTCAGGAGACTTGAAACTGTTCTCTGCAGCAAAGAACGTGAGTACAGACAGCTGTGCTGTCTGCCTGGTGCCACGATTCAGGATATCTGTTCTGGGTTAGAGAAGAGCTTGCAGTGGGAGGGAGAGGATCCAATTGTCACAGTCTGTGTGTGCATCAACGACAAAGGCAGAACTTGGAAAGAGGTTCTGCATAGCCAGTATGAGGAGCTAGACACCAAATTAAGGAGCACAATCTCTGATCTGCATGCATATTGGCATAGGGTAAATCAAGTTAGATGAATGTGTTGCTGAAAGACTGGTGTGGGAAAAGTGAGTTCTGGTTTGTGGGACACTGGCGCCAATACTGGGCAAAGTGGGATCTGTAGCACTGGGATAGTTTATACCTGAACCGTACTGGGACTGGTGAATTTGTGAACTAGGAAAGTAAAATGGGTTTTAAACTAAATATGGAGGGCCAGGGCCCAAATGTGGGAAGTTGTGGTGAATCAAAAAATGGGGAAAATGCAACAGAGGCAGGAATGAATGTAAATATTTTAAACATTATAAAATAAACGGACAATGACAGGAGGAGGCAAAGACCCAGTGGTATTATCGCTGGACTGTTAATCCAGAGACCCAGATAGCATTCTGGGAACACTGGTTCAAATCCCGCCACAGCAGATGGTGGAATAAAATCTCGAATTAAAAATCTAATGATGAACATGAATCCGTTGTCAATTGTCGGAAAAACCCATCTGGTTCACTAATGTCCTTTAGGGAAGGAAACTGCCATCCTTTCCTGGTCTGGCCTACATGTGACTCCAGACCCACAGCAATGTGGTTGACTCTTAACTGCCCCCTGGGCAATTTGGGATGGACAATAAATGCTACCTAGCCAGCGACACCCTCATCCCATGAATGAATAAAAAGGAGGGACAGAGAATGTATATCTAAGAGCAAATCAGCCAATGAGACGTTACAGAAATAAAGGACAAAACTTAAGGCACTATATTTGAATTCATGTAGTGTTCAGAACAAAACAAATGAACTAGTAGCTCAAATTGAGATAAGTAATTACAATCTAGCGACCATAACAGATGTGACTGTAGGATAACCTAGAGTTGGACCTGAATAATGAAAAGTGTGTGACACTGGGAAAGACAGGAAGCTAGGAAAGGTTAGGAGTGTGGCTTTGTTAATTAAAGATAATACTTGCACAATAAAAAGGGATTACCTGAATTCAGGAAGCCAGAATATAGAAGCAGCCTGGATAGAGATGAGGATTGTTAAAAGCAAGAGGTCTTTTTTGGGAATTGTGGTCTCCTAACAGTAACCACATTGTAGGACAGGGTGCCAAGGAAGAAATAATGATAAACAATTGTCAAGGGGAATTTTAATCTACATGTAGACTGGAGAAATCAAACGGTAAAAAATAGTCGAAAGTAGCAATTCATTAAACGTTTGTGGGACAGTTTCTTATACCAGTAAGTTATGGCACCAAAAAGAGAGCAGACTATGCGAGACCTGGTTTTGACCAACAAAGTAGGAATAATCACTGACCTCCATAGTGAAAGCACCTCTTGGTAGCAACGATCATAATATTTTTGAATTTTAGATAAAGTTTGTTGGAGAAGTGTGGCTCCAAGACTACAGTTGAATTTAAACAAGGGCAGTTATGAGGGCATGCAAATAGAGCAATCAAAAATGAACTGGCAAATTTGGTTAAGGGATTGCTCAATCAAGATACAGTGGCACAACCTTTTAAGGGGGATATTGCAGATGGTATGGCATAGATACATTCCACCAAATAAAAATTCTAAGGGAGACACATCATCTGTGGTGGACTAAGAAGGACACAGTTAGTGTCAGGCTCAAAGAAAAGACATAATTTTGCAAAGATAGGTGGCAGGTCAGAAGTTTGGACAGAATGTAAAAAAACAAAGTACTACTAAAAGACTAAGTAGGGCAGAATTAAGAGTATGAGAGAGGCAAAAATATAATAACAGGAGAAGTTTCTTCAGACACTTAAAGAAAAGATTTAACAAAGTAAATGTTGGCCTTGTAGAAATGTCGGTCTTGTAGAAATGTCTGGAAGTTAGGGGAGGCAGTAGCCTAGTCGTATTATCACTGGACTATCCAGTAACCCAGGTGACATTCTGGGGATCCAGGTTCGAATCCTGCCACGGCAGATGATAGAATTTGAATTCAATAAAATATCTGGAATTAAGAATCTAATGATGACTGTGAACCCGTGGTCGATTGTCAGAAAAGCCCGTCTGGTTCACTAATGTCCTTCAGGGAAGGAAACTGCCATCCTTACCTGGTCTGGCTAACGTGTGACTCCAGACCCACAGCAATGTGGTTGTCTCTTAACGGCCCTCTGGGTGATTGGGGATGGGCAATAAATGTGCCTAGTCAACGATGCCCTCATCCCGTGAATGAATTTTTTAAAAAAAATGAATTGAACAGCTTCACTAGAGTATACAAGTAGCATCCCGGAAATAGCTGTGAATCAGGAATTGAAAGAAGGGATCTCAAGAAAATTAGTTACCAGGGAAGTAATAGTGAGTAAATTGTTGGAACTGCGAACTGTCAAGTCACCAGAACCTAATGGATTTCATTTTAGGATCTTGAAAGAAGTAGCTAATGAGATAGTTGGTGCATTGGTTTCATTTTCCAAAACTCATTAGATTCAGTAAAGACTCCTTTAGACTGAAAAATAGCCAATGTGACTCCTTTATTGGACGAGGCAGGGAGGCAGAAAGCAGGAAACTACAGGTTTTGTTAGCTTACTATCTCTCAGAGAAATTGTTAGAAGCTACTTTTGAAGAAGTTAAAGAAGGGCACTTAGATAACTTCAAGGTAATCAGGCAGAGCACATAAAGAAGGTTGGGTGCCAACAGGAAGCAGAGGGCAAGAATAAACTAGTCTTTTTCAGGTTGACAGGGTGTGTCAAGTGCTGTGTCACAGGGGTCAGTACTGGAGCCTTGACTCTTTGCAAGTTAAATAAATAATTTGGATGAATGGACTGTAGCTGTGGTAGTTAAATTTGCTGATGACACAAAGATGGGTAAGAAATTAAATTGTGCTGAAGCCCTCAAACGAATATAGATTGGTCAAGTGAGTAAACCTAGATCTTGCAAATGCAATTTCCCCACACAGTGTGGGAAAGTGTGAAATTGTCTGTTTTGGTAGAAGGAAAGAAAAGCATATTATCGAAACGGTGAGATGTTGCAGAGCTCTGAGATGAGAGAAATCTGGATATCCTCATGCATAAATCACAGAAGATTAAATTGCAGGTACAGGAAGTAATCAGGAGAGCTAATAGAATGTTATGGTTTATTGCAAGGGGAATTGAATGCAAGACTAGGGCTGTTATACTTCTGTTCTACAGGACGTTTGAGAGACTATCTGCAGTACTGTGTACAGGACTGATCACCGGACTTACAGAAGCATGTTAATGCATTGAAAGCAGTTCAGAGGAGGTTTTCTACACT